CCGTTGTATGTCTTTTAGTCTTAAACCTAATGTCTACGTTTTCGGAATCGCACGAAATGAATATCGCCTCTCATGTAATTGTCCGAGAGAGTCCTACACATTGTCATTGGAACATAGTTTGAGCATTCTGCGGATCACAGCGTATCCGATTTGTTGGTAGTTACCTACGAAACGTTTGGATATTTTTGTGTACTTCTGTTATGAGGGAACGATATGAGAAGTGACGCATATTTTTTTCATAGTAGTTTTATTTGGGTAGGGCTATACCATATTTAGATAAGGGTATTTACTGGAAATAAGATATGCTACTAAGTATTATCTATAAGAAAAAAACTACGGGATTAAAGGTATGGCTTGGTTTCAAATTATTGTTGGGGGCATTCTTGTCACGGTACGACTTGGTAGTCTTGTATTCTTGGTTGACTTGGTAGTCTGAGCTAAATTTGCTGAAATCTGAACTTCTGATTGTGGATTTAACTTACTTTTTGATCTGACTTCTAATATGTTTTTGGGGATATATTTTCATGCACGAGTTGTTTCATGTTACTTGAGTCATTGTATTTACTAATTGTAGATAGTCATCGAATTTATTTGACTTGCATATAGCGGTATATGATTTCTGCGTTTGCATTTGCTGCGTTTTTAGCGTAAGCTTAATTGTATTTTAAGTAATTTAGAAGTGTTTTTTTAGGTTTTAAGGTATTTTGAAGTGTTAAGTTAGGTTGTTTCATTGATACGTCTCTATACCTCATGGTAATCTTGATTAAAGTTAAGAATTTGGTGACATGGAATAAAAGAAGATATTAGTGAGGCACTAATAGCTGTGTCATGCTCGTTTTTCGGATCTCTATTTAGTTCGAGTTCATTCTGATGAGTTCAAATGAAGTTTTATCGAGAAAAACGTCTATGTAAGGGGAAGCGGTGGGCAACCAACGAGAGTTCACTGCAGCTTGAAACAAGGCTTGCGGCTTAGTCACGTTCCGAGCATCTTTTTCGCCAGGTTTATCAAGATGTTATAAGTAATTCCGCTTTTGTAGTGTATGCTAACGTGTTTTCGCAGCATTTCGACGACAGCTCATTCGTTTCTTCAATTTTTTTTTAAAGCGAGCCATAATGAAACTGAAAATTTGAGCTCGTGGGGTAGTAGTTTGTAAACTTTTCGAGGCTACAACGTGTTCACGACGACGATAAATCTGCTAACGCCAAAGCCCATAGCGACAAATCATCGTCTTATGCAGGGCGTATTGCACGTAACTTTTGTGATTGCGAGGTACCAACAACTTGTGTTTATTATGAGTCACTGTCAACGCGAATTGCTAATCATGCGCAGCTAAGCGGAGAGGGTGACGTTATCATATCACAGTATCGTATCGAATTTTTATTTTATTTGCCTGGCTAATATTTAATGTTGTACAGACGGTCGATTAAGTGCCTGTTCGAGGTCAGACTTAATTGAAATAGTTCGTAGATGCATGTCTTGCTTTACGAATAGCTATTCTGAAATGGTTACCGGCGACTACTAATAATAATTATCAAAATAACAACGCTAAGTTGCCGATATACAATGCTCTAAATTAAACTCTTTTATTTTTTTTGTTTGCTGGCCGAAAATATATATATATATATATATATATATATATATATATATATATATATATATATATATATATATATATGTATATATAAACGCTTGAATGCACACGTTATATATTAAACCGAAGTTTTCCTAAATGAATGGACTGGTTCTAAGGGAACCGCTGTAGCAGCTGGCGGTACAAACCTCCTGGCAACTGAGTCCAATGGATGGACTTTTCCTTTTTGACAGCTCCGTTTGGCCTGGGAAGGGATAGGGAGGGGCGTAGGACGATACTGCTAACGTTATTATCCTGTGCTACACACCGTTGAGGCACTGAATAAGTTGAGATGCATAAGCGTCCACACGCAGATAACACTGTACAGCGACTGGACGCTGCTCGTTTGTCGCAGCAATAGTAGTCGTTGACACGTATCACAGTTTTTCTGTTTGTTCCGTTCGTCGTGGGATACTCGTCAGAATTGAGACCCTATCTTCCCACAATTCGACCCAGGGCAACAGGTTCATGATGGTCCCACAGCTCTAACATGGTCATGACGTCGGACGCCACGTTAACGGCGTATGATACTTTTAGCTCGACGACTATTGCGAACGTGATGCTGCGGTTTGGGGAGTCCCAAAACTGATTCTGGTAGCGATGGTGCCTGTTGATGGCGCCAGCATTGAGCTCTAACCATGGAGCGGGATAGTTGCATACATACAAACTAACGGAGGAGAAAAAAGAATATTTGCTGATGTTTCTCTAAATCGTTCTCGGAATCATGTATCGGTTTTGTTTATTACGGTCTGAAGGTCATCGAGTGTCGAAATGTATATGAATCAGCGTAATACACTTTTACGATTATATATTTGTTATACCAGACGAAAAGGATGTCTGTGTCACATATAGAATATGTGTTTAGGTTTACAGTCTTATCTAAGATTTCGAAGCGGATCGCCATTGAATAAACGCAATATTTATTATATATTGGTCGTATTAGAAAACGAAATAGGACGACAGATATTTATAACCATACGATCATTTCGAACCTCTTAACCATGTGTCGGTATAATTCCATGTGTGGTAATCGCATTCTTTGATTTGATTTTGTACCGACATAGTCCACAGCTCCCAATCGCGTTTAGGCATGAAAATGTGTATGATCACTGATATACGAGGTATCTGCTTCACCAGGAAAAGGACACGAGTTCCGATGTGCTTCAACCGGTAGATGCATCAAGTCCTTTGTCCCGCTTTTTTTTTGTGAAATAAATAAGCATTTAGTTTAACGTATGGTACAAGCATTAGATACTGGTTTAGAAGGTTGATCCCCGGCGTGAATGAATTCTGTTTACATCCGATAATCTAGACCACTTCATATACAATTTGTCATTGAGTCATCGTATGGGAGCGTACTGTAAAGTAAACACCGATATCGTGAGGATTTATAAAAGCGAAGAGGAAGGTAGTTTACAGCGTGTTTTTTTTTTTCAATGTCGCTAATGGCTACTCGTTTTTTCCAAATGATAGGGTTTGTGTTGCGGTTACCTGCTTGTTATTTTACATTCTGGCAGCATATTGTAAGCAAAATCGTAATCACATTCTGTCATATCAGAATCCATCTTTTTTCTCTACTGGGCAACATCGTGTCCACTCATCGCGCTTCTTACCGGTCAGTTGCGTCGAGTCAACGATCGTCTAAACTTGTTCTTATCGCCTCAAAAAAGTGGGATGAAAGGTATTACTAAGTGAAAGATAAAATAATACGAGATTCCCGTTGCGCGATGTTGGTAACCTTCAATTTCAAGCTTTCGTTCTTCTCCCTAGCTTTTCGCTTTATCTTCGAACTCGACGTAAGGGAGATCGCCTGTCGTCACCAGTTGTTGTTAATGTCGACGAAACCATTGGTACACACCTGTAACCGATCAGCGCGTGATTAATGCCCATGTTGCGTTGTTCCTTCAAGTACTGTCCTTTGAGTTCTCTCCATTCTGCCGCCAGCGCGGCATTTGTATCAGGCGTGTCCAAGCTACCGCGCCACTGTTTCTGCTATTAGAGGACAGCACGCAGGATGCCATTTTTGCTGTTCTTTTGTTCTTATGCACCCAGAAGAAGAACCTCCGAAATGATAGAAACCTTACAAGTGAGACATCTCCCGATGCTGCAGCTGCCCGGGTCGTGTCGTTACGGTTACAAAAGCAGTCAGCTCAGTTTTGCTTATAGGAGCACGCCAGGATAGTTCTTGTATAAAATAGGGCAAAACTGGTTTTAAACAGCGGCTGTGATGCGGCCAAATGATGTGCGTGCTTGATTGTTGTGTACCTGGCCAGGAGGCTGGACCTCACCCTTCACCATAAACAAAGCGACGCACTTTCTGGTAGAGACTATTTCGGATGGTAGGCTGGAAGCTGTTTCGCTCTTCATACGACACCGAGTCTAAGTGAAACGAGCGTACCCAACGGAAGCGTCATTGCTACAGCCAGAACAGCGATAGTAGCGGCCACCGCGGTGGTGGCAATAGTGCTAGTTAGTTCGAGCGCTCGACTTGTTCCTCGTTTGCAGCTGTATAGCATTAGCAGAGGCTCGCGGTATCAAATCCGCCCTCCCTCATCCCTCCGTTGGATCTGCTCTGAGATCTGCCGTCTTTAGGTATGAGTAGGAAGTGGCATTTGGACGACAAGCCAGGTAATGTTCGAGGATTCAAAGCAGAATTACCGAGACAGAAGACACAAATAGCGTTTGCATTTCTTACAGCAATACTTACGTGTGTAGAACAGATTGAACGTACCAAAGAAGACCATGCTTTCTAGTACTTGCTGGTGGGTCAGTCAAAGATTATGGGTGACGGGAAAGATTATGGCCCTAAGAAAGCGCCTTACGATACGAATAGGCTGTAAAAAACATTTTTTTTTATTAAGAGGAATTTGCTCTTCATTTTGATCAAACGCTAGTATAGATGCGTTGTAGAGAAAAAATTAGCTAAAATCACGTGGTAGGATAGAAACAGAATTCGAACCTAACTACTCGACATGAGTGTCCTAGGCAAAAAATTTAAGGTACTTCCTCTCGTTTCTCTCGATCGATAAATTATTGTTTGATCTATTGTTTTTGAATTGTACGTTATGGTGGCAAACCTGAGTTATAGGAAACGTGCCATAAGACCTAGGTCGACAATAGGAACAAGATTTTAATTCGAAAGCGTTGATCTCTAAACGTTGCCTAATCTTAACTTGGACAACGTTTGAATTGCTCATCTTATATTTTACTCAAAAATATGCTGGAGGTGGCGATGTCCTGCAAATACATAGTATATTGTCTGAACCGAGTTTTAAACAGTCATTTCTTATTTTCTCCACTTAATGAATACTCTTGAGCCAGTTTCACTGGAACTATTTTATATTTTCTTTCCTGTTATTCATCATACAGGCTGCAGGATGATCCGCCTTCAGGTGTGTCGGGCGCGCCGACAGACAACAATATTATGATCTGGCATGCTGTGATCTTCGGACCTCATGATACGCCGTTTGAAGATGGTACCTTCAAGCTAACACTTGAGTTTACTGAGGAATACCCAAACAAACCACCTACGGTGCGATTCGTTTCGAAAATGTTCCATCCCAATGTTTATGCGGATGGGAGCATTTGCCTTGATATTCTACAGAACAGATGGAGTCCAACATACGATGTCTCCGCCATTCTTACATCTATACAGGTAGGAGAGAAGAACAACGTGAAAAAAAACGCCATCCTCTCCTAATATTTAACGCACCAGGGAGGAGGTTCTGATGTTTTCTCGATTTATTATTCGTTAGTTTGCTTGGTAGTATTTATTCTGGATTAATTTATTAATTTCTTGGTCTGGTATGGATGATTATTCTTTGGCCTAATTTCTAACTATTTGATTTATCACGGACGTTTACAAATTGTTGCATTTTACGCCTAACTCTTCGTTTTATGGAACTAGCGAGTACTTTCATTTTAATTAAAATAGGTCTGGCGAATTCACAAAACTTTCGTTCGCAACTTTCGTGCAGTTACCAATGAAAGCCGCTAACCTTTAGCCGACCCTATACAAAAGAAGACTTTGTATGTATTTGAGTGAAAATTGTTGTTAATATTTGGTAGCAACATGCTGTACGTCATAGCCTGTTTTGGAGTAGCTTTTTTTTGTATATAGGGAGCCTATATGAGATGCGAACTCAAATTGACTCTGACCTCACATTCGTTTCATCATCTAACAAAGCCTGGGCCAAATAGAGTTATTTTAAGACAACATCTCCCTATTTGTCTCTGTTTTAGCTATGGTTTAATTAACGCGAAATGCCCGCCAGAAAAACAATTCGCACATGAAGGAATACATTTAGATTAAGATTAACATATCAATAACTTTCACAGAATTTACTAACTAAATTGACATACAAATACAGTGATTTTGTGCTTACGACAAGCTGCTCAAACTATTAGGCAATCTTTATAGAAGTGACAGCAGGTTCAGTTTCTCTACAAGCGGTTTCATTTTAAGAGTTTACTATATTTGAACAAAGTAACCATACATTCATATTTTCATAATCCATTTATCAATACAAATTAAAGTTAGACATTTTTGATTTAAAATTTCTATTGGTAGTGACCGCGTATTATAGATCTCACATTAACGCTGCTTCAGGCGTCAATACATAAGGATCGCGTGCTCTTATGAGAGCCTTTCTTTCTTTCTAATTGTATTGGTCGCCCTGTATTCTATGTTAATGATATTGTCGATCCATTGATCGTCTTGCTTTTTCAGTCTCTTCTGGATGAGCCTAACCCCAACAGCCCAGCGAATTCACTCGCGGCCCAGCTTTATCAGGAGAATCGACGAGAATATGAAAAGCGGGTAGAAGCTATTGTTGAACAGTCATGGCACAACTTTACGGATGAAGAGGATCCGGCGAACGCAAAGAAAGAGCCGCCTACAGCTGCGACCGCACACGGTTCAGGAACTAGCAACTCCTAGGACAACGACGACGTTGGCAGCAAAGGGAAAAATATAATGTGAATTGTCGATTAGAGCGAAAGAGAAAGCGAGCAAGGGACAGACGAGCAAACACACATTATTACTGAAACAAAGCGACAACAGAGATGCAACTATAATTATAACACTAATTAAACGATATGAGTACGCGGAGAACACATAGCAGTACCCATAGCCGAAATAAACAAACAACAAAAGCATGAAAATAATAACCGGCATAATCATTCTGTCATATTATTCACCGCAACAACAACAACAATAGCGACGGCAACAACAACAACGACACCAACAATATAAACATCAACATTAACAACAATGACACTACCGCCAACAACAATCACAATGACATCACCATCACCAACAACGACAACACCAATGACACCAACAACCACAATAACAGGAGCAGCGGTAGCAACAAACAACAACAAACAACAACTGAGGCAACTAGGAACCCGAACATCAACAACAACAGTAGCAGCAGCAACTGGGGCTTGAACAGCAGTCAACGTCTGCAATTGGAGACTCATGCAATTTCTTTGATAGAACAGTTATATAATTAGAACTGGGAAAGCAGAATAGCAAAAGGATCAAAGGGGAAAACGGATCAATTCGGAATCGGGCGCAGTTAGTGCAGCAGCAGGAGGAGTAGCGGCGGTGACCAATAATAGTAATAATAACAATAGTAGTAACAATATGATAAATAGTAAGACAACAACATTAGCAACAAACATTTTATTGACGTTTCCAGTCCCGTTGGAGTGGGTGTTTGAAATGATGCAATGTGTGCGAGCCCCTACACCCTGCCCATGTCTGCGAGTGCCAGAAGTGCTGGGAGATACGGTACCGTTATTGTCATGTCCGCCGATAATTGACATTTACAACATTACTGATGAACGGATGAGCTAGAAGAAAAGGCTCACAGAAGGCGACGGGAAGCACTGAGAATGTACATTTGAAAAATTTAGTGCACCCGCATACTGCTTGACTCGTGTCATTATCTAGGAAAGATTGGTAAACAGCAGGTGCGAAGTTTTGGTCTCTCGCATCTTGTAAGGATGAGGACAACAATTCACTGAAATACTATCTAATTGCAATAGAAAAACATAATGGTAATGAATATTGAATAATCTTTGAATACAAAAAGGAACTTCACGAAATATTAACTACGTCAAGAATAACAACAATAACATTAACCAGCACAGGCACGGCAAGAAGATTTGTTAGAACCTTTTTAATGTTTTTTCGAGTTTAAAATTATCATCAATTAAGAAGATGGAGCGAGCGAGCGAGCGAGAGAGAGAGAAAGCGAGAGAGACAGACAGAGAGAGAGAGAGAGAGAGAGAGAGCGAGAGCGAAAGAGAGAGTTTACGAACCTAAATAGGACCAAGAATAAATGATGATAGCGATAACTTTGTTAAACATAGACAATACTCTTTTTCGTAGTAAATGTATTAATTGTCGTAGTAATTGAGGTAATGCAAAAGGCATTTGTGGGGGAATCATTCGAAGGGTTAACTAGGAGTGTCTATCAGACCGCTGTGAAGGAAGAAGGAATCACACTTCAAGTGACAGATCGTGAAATAACAATATTAAGAATAAAAATAATTATATTATAAGCATATATATGGTTACTGTCGTTAGTTAGTTAATGATCATTCGCACGCTCCTATCAATTTTTGATGTCGCTTCGCTTGGCTTTATTTTCACCGCGGCATATATAAAAAAACTCAGAAAAAATGAACGTAATATTAAATAGTACAGCTCAATAACTGTTGCTGTAACGACTGTATATGGTAATGAAGAAGATAAACGTGAAGGCGTCAGACGAACAGACATAGCAAAGGTCTTCACTTGTTTGATTGAACATGCTGTCGTAAAAAGAACTGTTGGGTAAAAAAGCATAGAACGATTTAGCAGAAAATATCAAATATAAGAAGTTGCTCGCTTACCGTCAATTTAAATGAACAGAATTTATAAAATAGATTTGAGTATTACTGGAATAAGCTAAAGAGGTTTTGTTGTACCGAAATGTTATGTAGGCTATTCAAACGCATTTAAAGCAAAAATTAAATTTTTTGAGATTTTTTTTGGCTATATTTGTTGATCGAGGTAGAGGGGAAGGCGGGTTTCTTCCAAGTTTTAGGTAGTATCTTCTATATGTTTATGTACGAATAAAAAGCTCATATCAATATCTCGGCTATGCTCTGTTAATGAGGACGTTCAAGCTATCGGATGTTTGTGTTGATGGAAAATTGCATTAAAAATAAATTAAGCAAACCGAGCTAACAACGACAGAAAAAAATGTACAGGACAAAATATAGATCTGCGAAGACCTGTCTGTGCATCTCCCATAAAATTGAATCCTACGGTATCCAAGCATTTGCCGTTTGTGATAGTTCTTAGGCCGGTTAAGAACGATCCTTGATTAGTATGTGCTTAATATTGATTCATTCACGTGTGTTGATGTAATGTGTGGTGGCTTGTTGTTGCCAAGTGTAACGCTGAGACAGAATGCAGTTTCCCAGCCCAACGTCGCATCATTCGATTGTTGATGCTCTTTAAAGGCATATGGACACTATCACACTCTGGATTACCGACAGATATTATATATTGTATGTAACCATATAGATTTGTCTCCGTAGCGAATGTAAGGGATGACTGTCGCTACTACTACTACTACTACTATTATCATCCATCAGTAATTCAAACTAAAAAAATTAGAGCCCGCTTGAAGCTTATTCGACGTATTGTGTAAAGTAACTAGAATTCCTTCTACTACAGAATAAACTGCAACGCGATGCCCGCCAGTTGCATCATTTCTGCTAACGAACTTTACTGCTTTGATGCAGAAGATAGATAATGGCTGATTATGAATGGATGCACACCAACACACGAAGCAAGGCGATTTACACACAGATTATGGACATGATCAAAACGAAGATGAAAAAAATTGACATCCATGATGATTAACATGAGTATTGCTACTTATATGGCATCACGATTAAAAACTGCTGTAATTGTTACTACAGTTTACTACTATTATTTTTCTAAATCGTCAGGTAAGAACAGAGCGAGGACAGTTAGATGGAAAATGGGAAGGGAAAGTGGGAACCAGTAGGGACGCGTATGGGATAGTCGAAGCAGGAAGCTTAGATACAACGAATAGGATGGTGCGCAGTGGTTTTTTCGTATTTCTAAATTGATCTTGTTACTCTTAGCCTCATGTGTTTCTTTTTTTTTTTATTTTGTACGAAGCTAAAGGGAAACTATTCTAGAGAAATTCAGAAAAAAACAAAACGATCAGAAAGAGGAATGAAAATGGTGAAAAGAGCGATATGCGGCCCAGTGATGTATGACTGTTCAGGAAGTAAGCAAATCGTGCCAAGACAGCATAACGTTTAATTTCCAAACAAACAAACAGCGATTTAACGAGGAAAGCATGGCAAAGAATCCGGGCCTATAATAACCTCGATATGGATCGTAAAAACGAACGCAGTGCAGTTAAATATAAAGGACTATCACTGAGTGGTTAACGGGAGACCCGAGAGTCGCCGAACAATGAGAATGGACACTTCATGGAATATTCTAAGAGCCCTTTTAAGTTGACTCATTTATTGTCGTTTTTACTGCTGAGTTTTTTCATTAAAACTATGGCGGAAAAAAAATTAGTGGAGCCTGTTCGAAACATGACAGAGTCGAAAAAAGTTGGGCCTCGTTAGGATACACAAATAGCAGTAGCAACAGCAGTAGAGCGCAGGATAGAGACAGGGTACATAGCATAGGAAAGACGAACACCATCGTGAGGATGACGACGATACGGATGAACGTAACGGAGTGTATTGAAGGTGGAACTATATAAATAATTGACCAAATATATATATATATATATTGATATGGGGCGACTACGTATGAAACAAAACACAGATGGATAAAGACACAATCCTGACACAGATGAACTGTACTACTTAGACTCTCTGTTTGCCCGGCTCTCGAACGACGAACTAGTTGTTCTACAATCGAGTTGTATATACACACAACCAGCAGCGAAGAAAATTTAAAATCGCTAAAATTTTATCGATCAGCCGTTAGCTGCTGGTTCCATCCCATATAGTTATCCTGTGAACTTTAACAACATTTAATTGCAAGAGAAAAGTGAAAATACTTTTCTCATACATGAAAGTTATTACAAACGGAAATTAGACAACGCACAGCATGCTTATGGGCAATCCCACGGACGCGAGTTTCGAACGACCATACAATGTGAAGAACGTCTTCTTTTCAGTGCGCTCTGTTGAGATCAATTACCGTGCGATATTCATGCGCGTACTAGTCTGCATTCGCAATCGAACACAAGTAAACATAACTGGCGGGATCGTAACAAACAATTCAAAAGCTTGCCTAGGCAGTTGGATAACGTTACTGAACGGTGCTGAAACATCTACCTGTCTGTTCATCATTTGTATCAACTCTTCACTTACGTCGCGTATTCAAGATAATGCAGAGTTGAAGGAAAGAGAAACAATGCACTGCTTCGATTCGAAGATAATGTAATTGGTGGCTACATATAGTAAGCTAACATTCGTTGGAATGCGCAAATTATATGAAATCTATGCGTGGCGTTACTTACTTCGAGTTAATAAAATATAGGCGGCTGTGGTTAGTTATTCGATGAGAGTGTAACTATATTGTAAGGCCGATGTGTCGTCGTAAGTTATAGAAGAGTGGGGCATAAATTTGGAACGGATCGATGAAAGATGGGGCGTATTCCGGGGGAAAGTGTCACGACGCAGTGGTTGAGAAGAGTGGGCGAGATTATAGTAAGCTGCTGGGAGCGATTTCAACAATGATATCGAGGATGACAAGGAGCATCAACAATTAAACAATAACAGCAGCAGCAGCAGCAGCAACAACTATTCTAGCTAGGAAAGCGTGGGTTGGTTCGCTTTACCAAACCTTGTATAAATAAATAACAATAAAATGCGTATACAAATAAACAAACACCAAGATTAATTGTCAAAATGAATCTGAGTATTTCCTCTTTTCAGTAATAAACTTATCATTGTTATTACCTATTAAGAGGCTTTAACGTAGGTATAGCTCTTTTGGGGGCTCTTTGTTACGATTTCTATTGTGATAATTTAGAGGAATAATTGCTAGTCTCAAAGGAAAATCTAAAGCAAGGACCATATTAACGACAGTAGGATGTCTGGACAACAACAAAGCTAATCCTAATCCTGGCAAGGTCGATGTAGCTTTTTATAGAAACAAAAAAAGGTGCAATAATGTTGATTGATTTTTTTTTAAAATTTGTACGTTCATGTGTGCGCATATAAAAAATGGGCAAACACGAGGTCCATAATCAAATGGCTATATGTACTTTGGACCACTGGACTATTCTAGAGTTTAGAGCTTTTAAATACTTTAGGGTTCTCTTTCTCAGTGATTCTACATTTCAAGAACAAATCTGTTGCAATCCGTACTGTAGTTATTGTTACCCAATGCAGCGCCTTGACATGCGATCGAAAATTGTTTACACAGACCCAATAACAATAAACATAATAATGCCAATAACTTGATCTTATTAAAAGCTTTAAAAAAAAACGGATATATACGATATAAACAATAATAGTTTAGACGTCACACTGTACTAGCGGTGCTGTAGAAGTCAACTCGTGTTTTCTTAATAAGCAACAATCAGAGGTAATGTAAGTCTGGCCTTTTCCGATTTCCATGGGGGCGTAGTCATGTTTTAGACTCCACCCTGGATGACCCTTGTAATAATACTTAACGAATAAGAGATGGGGTGATTCAATCTAGACAAATTGAGGCTGAGAGCCAGCTGGGGATTAAAAACCTTTTCATTGTAGCTGTAACATTTTTCGAATTTAACGAACGAACAGTTTACTACGCAATGGCGTATCTTGTGTCTGAAATACAGAGTAGTGTATTCTGTGTCCATTCTAAAGCGTTCCTTTTATCACTTTACCTTATAGACGTCAAGAGCTATTAAAAATTAACCGTAAATAATCTGTCCTGGTACCTAGTTTAGGGTTACCCGTGAGTGAAGCTTCTATGGTTACACATCAACACCAGTTGGTCTGCTTTCCACCCTGCTGTAGGTTCTGGCGGGATTTTGTAACAGCTGATTGGCCTTTCTGTCTCAACATGGTAAATGTTGAATAATAATTATGGACTACAAATATGCGTTTTATTAATCATCGTACATACAATAGTTTGAAGCGCTGTGATAAAGGAATTGTGCAATATTTGTGATGCAAATTACCTACACCTCACTCACTTATGCTTCAACCTAAGGAGTAAGTAAACTACTAAGTTTCTAACATAGTCATAAGTATCTCTTTACGCTAAGCTGAAACGAATGACTCTAAAATTAACTAGTTATTTTCGACATTAAAGAGATAAACTGCATACCTAGGAATCGCATTTAAGGAAGCTTAGCTATCTATAGATAACAAGTCGGTAATTTTTTGTTTTTAGGACAGTTTCTAATTTGAAACATTTGAAATTTTTCATTCGTATTTATGTCAGTAAATTATAATTAGATTAAATTGGAATGATAAGACTCGTTAAAAGAATGCAACAATTATAAATTCTGAATTTTTAACAATCCGTTTTCTAATAATAGGATGTCCCAATTTAATTTTCACTACTGAAAAAAGAAAGTGAATTACTGTAGTATTGTGTTATGGGCACATTAAAAACTTTGAGTTTGAAGGGCTTGCTAACAAAATGTCGTTCTCCCTTCGTACGCATGGCTGTCAACACCCGTTTATCCTGTTTAGTTTATTCATATTCGCATAACGACACGACAGATGTGATTAGAAACCAAACATATTGAAAGAGATTGTTGCAGAAAATTGCGTAACTATACAACAGGAAAAATAGCTTCGTCAGGTTATAGTGTTACTACAGTCCACATCTTCGTGCTTTCACAGCTTAAATCAGATGATGATCGCGAGTGTCCTACCAGAGCGACGATTGGTTCGATCCCGATCCTGTAAAAAAAGGTCGAATCTTCCTTCAGAAATCCATGTGACTTCTCCGAACCTCAAAAGAAAAAGAACGACAAGCTCCGCCACAAAGGAAAAGAGCACAATTCTACAAAGGGACTCTGCTTCGGATTGTTCTGTGCAATCCTCAAAACGTATAAATAAAAAACTAGATTTTATACCGGATAAGCCACTGCGTAAAAATTTTACAGATGCGATGGTTGTTGGTAGTCAATTGGATCGTGAAATCGGCACAGGCGAGTCCAAACAGTCAACGATAAAGGACTGCAGAAAAACACAAAATGGTGCGCAAATAACTGGATTATTTGAAAGTATTTTCAAGGATTTGCACTTGAGTGACCGTTAACGTGTATATAACTGTAATTTAAACTTCAGGAAGTTACTACTGCTATAATTGTATTGATGAACTTTTGTGTTTATTGTATAACAGCAGCTCACCACTTCAATCTATTCACTAAAAAGCTTACAATGTCATAGAAATCACTAACTAAGGTAAAACGTGTTCAACCTCAAAACTGCTTCAACAGGACACATTAATAATGCGTCGAAGACGGCTACATTGGTCGACATTATGACAACAAAACTTACTACAAAAGTTAGCCAAGCGGCAAGGAGCAGCAGGGACCAGAAGAATAATAAAACGTTGAACGTTAAAGAAAGCGACTCCTTTGACACCATGTTTTCAGAGTCAGATATGTGGACATCTAAATATGCGTAAGCTGCATTGATTTTTGTAGCATTATTTTTTTATTTATTTATCATGCTCAACAAATTACATTCAACTGTTTCAACTAGACATATCTGTGAATATTATGTTTTACTTTTGACGATAAATGTGCAACGATATTCTTAGAACAATTACGACTTTTTAATCACCCAATTGGTTTAAACGCACACAAACATAGCGATGAAGAACGATACGTTGTTTGTTTGAGAGACTATACGATTAAATAGATATGATTGGTGTTCCGCAGGCCGAGTTCGTTCGGCACGTTCGTGGGCAATATGGCGGCGGTGGCCACTCTCGAGAATTGGCTCCAACAATGGAAAGATCTTCCGAGAAGATCTGCATCAGCCTACCATGTGAGTGACTGACACTTCCGTCACTTACTGAAATCGAAGCTAACCTAAGATTATCCTATGGAGTTTATATGTCTATTAAAATACAGGTTACTTTATGCGATTTGAAGTTCATAAAATTATGCGGCCGTGTTGTTTTGGTCAATATGTGTAGTTGATAAAGTGGATAAGCGATAAACATGTCATTTGCAATTCCGAGCGCGCAGAAAGCACATTTACTTTTTTACAGTAAGTTTAAAATAACGAAGTCTAGCATACATAAGCATTGTTAAATAAGCTGAATGTGAAGGTACGTTTTAACCCTCCCAAATTGCTATAGATACTTTTGGAATTTTAGGTAAAATTATCGCCTAATAATCTCTATATTTTACACTAACTATGCTCGTCTTTTCTATCAGGATTCTTCCTCGTCGAGTGGACATCCGGCCGACGGCTTTTCCAATGCGATGTTTATCAAAGGTCCCCCAGGCGTTGGTAAAACGGCTCTAGTTTATTATATTGCACAGCGGCTAGGGTACACGGTATGTGCAGTGTTATCCAAAACTAATTTTACAGTAATCAGTCCCCTTATGCTGCGTGAAAGTCGATGCCCATAGAGATTCAGTTGCGGTCATTTTTTATAGTCGTACAGGGACAAAATTTACTTTGAAAACGAGACACTCATGCGTGCAGAATAAGCGTGAAGCACTCTGGTATATCCCTAGATATTAATAATTTATAGTTAAATTGGATATTCGCAGCGAATTCAGCTGAAACCTTTGCAACTTCAGGTTCTTGAGGTCAATTCTTCTAGTGAGCGTTCCGGACGCCGTGTTTTAGCCGACCTAAAAGAAGCAACGCAAAGTCTTCACGTTGAGGGAACAAAGGTGTCTTCCTCAAAGGGACGAATCAGCAGCTTTTTTAAACCTGTTTTTACATCGGTACCGACTGCTTTGTTGACATCCGATCTGTCCGAGCAAGCACAGGACAAGAAAAAACAGAAGGGAAAGGAAAAGCAAATCTCAAAAGAGTTTACATCTCGTAATTGTAAGGGTACAATTTCGTTCTTCTTTGCTTCAAAAACTAAGAAAGGTAATACCTCAGAAGACTCTACTGAAATTTTAGAAATACTAGATGATAGTTGCAACGACAAATTCGAGTGCGAAGCAAAAGAATTGTCGAAGTCATCGATAAAATCATTTTTCGAGCCTGTTGATAAAAATGATGATCTCAAAGGTTTCGAAAAAGAACGAACTGTAATAACCGACAAGCAAATAATGGAGAAACGGTCGAGATCAGGATCGCCTGAGCAAGATGATCAGAGGATTAAATGTTCGAAATCGACAATTATTTTATTCGACGACGTCGATGTGATCTTCGATAACGATGGAGATGAGGGATTTTGGATGGCACTTGAAACTGTTTTGAAGAGTTCGAAAAAGCCCTGTATACTGACAGCGACCCGTGACTATGGTACGATTATTAAACGCTGTCGAATACTACAGGACACGCCCGTGATCGAGCTACATCGGCCAAGCCCAACTCAGGTACCTGAGTAATCTCTATTTAAAATGTATGTTTTAGTTAACTGTCGCTGTATTTTTTTTTGCACGGTAAAAATGTTTGCAGAAGCATTACCTAGATCACATTTAGTCAGTATTCATATAACATTGCTTTGATGGGGTGCCTGTAATTCAATGACCATGAAAAAAAATGTCTTTGTGTCTTTTGAAGATATTATTACATTATTCTATTATTTAGGCACAGAACCGAATAAGCAGATTTTCAGGGACAACAATCTGTTAAGCAGTCAGGCAAAGTTTGCATCTCCCCTTTAATATTGAGCATCCTCATGGGCATGTTAACGCTAACTAGATAGAAATAGACCTATAAATCCGAATTCAAATAATTACTTTTTCCTTGTGTTCAGGTAGCAGGGTTTTTGAGAAAAATTGGGGAAGCTGAAAAACGTGACCTTACAGGTTACAATGTAGAATTCACCTGTCAGCATCTTTCGTCTGACGTTCGCCGTGCGCTTCTCCAAATAGAGTTTGAAACAGTGTCATCTAGATTACCGCAGACAATCTATCCAGTTAACAAAACTTTTGGTGCGCTCCTTTCCTCGGGGTAAGTCTACTATAATTATCGATAGAAATTGCCTGTCCTTTCAACCGACCTTTCTACATTATTAAAGCATTAAGAAAGATTATAAACCACACTCTTATATTTGTTGATGCTTTCATTTTTCTGTGTGATGACGCGATTGCAATTTAACCTCCTGCCTCTCGACCTGATTCCCCTAGTGTAAACACTGCCACGTTAAAATTTCAAGTAAATAAACCAGTTTCGAAAAATGCTGCACTTTATAGTTTTTATTTATTGACCACGTAAAAATACGATTTCATCTATTTAAGTAAAATAGCTAAATCACTCATGGTTGCAGGTGTCTCGATGACGCAGCTTCAATTCAAATGATATTTAAAAAATCTGGTTTCAACGCGTTTTATGCTTCGCTTGAAGAGTGTCTACCATTCGAATTTGAGGATATCGTCATGCGCAAGCCATCTTTCTCGTCAACCGAAATCGGCGAATCATTAGCCCAATCTAGACGAAAGCGTCACGATGATAAGAGAAAAAAATCAAAAGCTGCGTTTAATTCATCCGTGTTGTGTAGTCTTGCTGAAATTTTCGATCAAGTATCACAGTTTGATCTTTTTGCTGCAAGTCTTGACACTATGGGAGAAGAATGTTTGCCGAGCTATGAGAGGTAATAGTATAATGAGACTTATTCAGACCGAAGATATGTAAAAGGACAACTCTAATGCCAGCTATACTAGCATTATAACAATGGCGATATTCGTGGAATATTGTCTTTGTATTTAGTAATCATATACGGACATTGAAGTTGATCGTTAAGGAAACATTATCTACTATACCTAATCTGCATCTGTAGAGTAAAACGCTGGATGGAGCAGCGTCCAGTTGAGACGCAGGACACAAACCCCAGATTGGTAGAGGAATTGCTTGAGATCGGATCCACGGTTCTCATTGGAGAAGCAGCAAAGTCCCTTGATAGGATTTCGAGGAGGTAGGCATCATTATTTCAGAAACTGATCTTTACTATTAGGTGTAATTACTGATCAGGCTAAAGGGTAATGAAAGCTTGGTTATATATGGCTGCTTTAGCTACGGATGCTCTAATCTGCTGTAAAATACCTTAATCAGGTTAGTACAATAGTGACTGTCGATGTGATAAGATGGAAAAGGGTAGAGCTCTATGAGAAATAGGCGTGGTTTTCTGCTAGTTAGAAAAATACTAATGGCTTTGCTGCGAACATTCATGTAGGTGCGCAGATCTTACCGAGGTTGAGCAACAGGAGTTGTATCTGCCACGCGTAGCTAGCTCCCTAGGATTCCGCGACATTCATAAGATTCTTAAAAAGGTTGGTAGCAAGATGCATCACATAATCTTTCACTCGTCTTTAGTCAAAAGATATAGAAGATGATGGATATTATTTTCTATGCGGCTGTGAAAGTACTTTGATTCGAAAGCTAAAACAGCTAGAAGTTATGCTAGGATAAACAAATTATTCTCAGGTGTGGACATATCAAAAGCCTACGCCTTAGGTAATGAAATAAAAATTAGAAGTTGCCGACATTAGATTTCATAAAGAAAAACGCGTTTTCAGGTACGCACGAACGAGCGAGCCTTGGACGACATTCTAAGCCAGCTGTCAATTAGTCGATCCTTAGCTAAACATTACCTTTTTTACTTATCACGTATATGTCAAGCTGAAAAAGAGCGTCGAAGTGGACCTAACAGAAAGGGACGAAGCAGATTTCTTCACTATTTGGCACAAATAGGAATGTATTTATCGCCAGACCAGGTTGACCGACTTGCAACCTTGTGGTCTTAATAATACTTCACTTTGAATAATTAGTTTTTTACAGAGAAGGGTGAATCCGAACAGCTAGAGAGGGTGGTAAAGTGAGCCCCACGTTAAATAGCGAATTCGGAACAAAACGTCGCCTGAAGGCAGATTTGCAAAAATGAAACATAATAGATGCACTAACTTGTAGTTGCTAGAACAAAAATGGGGGAAACTGTAAAAATAGCATTTGAGAGTTATAACTACAATATCTAACCCATACCGGTATTCTAGGAAAGCATATCAATTCCATATGTTTCTAACATCTCAGATCTTTATCGTACGACTATAAAATTAATATTCCGCACAAATAAGTTGTTCCGACCCTGTCACGCTAATGTTAGGAAGGTTAGTAATCCATTTACCTAAATATCTTAATAGATATTTTTGTAGAGTTTGTTTTTGGAAGTAGCACGATGTGTTGTACATACATGTATACATATAAATATATATATATATATATATATATATATATATATATATATACGATGTATCACCGATCCAATTATTTAATCGGTAACGTTAAACACAGCCATTTTTCACACTAACCAAACATCTAAAGAAAAGGTATAATAGATTACCATGATTACACGAAGTACGAAAGAGTTAATTGTGAATTTGCTCAGCCAATGATAGGTATAAAATAATATAGTATTGCGGCAAATAATTGCGCCGCATTGTTAAAGACAATATATTCCCTGAAATTTCTTCGTTTATTCATTTTTCTAATAAACGGATCCAAAGTCTATTGGAACTGGTAAGGCGGTATAGAATTTCCACTAGAAGTTTCAACATATAGTGTTTTGGAGAGGATTTACAGCTTATAATATTGCATTATCTCAATAATGTATCTCATATGTATTGTCTCGATTGGGTGCTTGTCCTTAGTATGAAGAATACATGGGACAGGGTAGGAGCGGGACTTATCCCGAATGCACCTTCTACAGAATCTTTGTGCACTCCAAAAATACAATATATTCTGTATGTTCCAAAAAATTCTCAATTTAAACTGTCTTTTTGTTAGAAATAAATAATCGGTGCAAGTAAACCTTCACCATTTCGTGTTATTAATCAAATGTAGTTTTTGGGATGTGCGCACTTCGTGAAGTTAGTTGGTGAATAGTTACCCTTCCGAATTACTGCCTGCTGCTGAAGGTCTATCTCTTCTCAGTACTCGAGCTAACCAATCTGTTTGTAATGGAAAGGTAGATCTTATTGCGGTACCAATGACCTCCCACGTAAACGTACACAAATGCATCTTTGTAGAACGTTTGTGGTTTATCTGAAGGAACAGTTAATGTGCGTTTATCTTTGAACACATAACTGTAGTCGCGACCACCGTTTTTCTTTATCCATAATGGTGTAGTTATTCTTCTGATCTTTATTGATGGCCATATGGTTCTAGCATTGTGGGTTCTTAGCGGCGATAAGGAGAACAAGACTTAGCTGGACTGCGGAAAAACAACAGAGTTTAGGCATTCGAAGAAGGCTTATATATGAACGATAATACTCTGTCAAAATGTATATTTATCAAATGTTATCAGGTCTCAGTGTTGTACTAAAGGTTATATAGTGGCATCTTCATTAATAAACGAAATCGTGGCCAAATACCCTATTTTTCAATGTGCTAATATATTTAGAAAGCCGCAGCTATTCCATGTTCGAAGTTACAACTCGCCAAGTATTTAGTATATTTGAAACGAAATCTCCAAAGTTAAAAGGAAAATTGGAAGAATTCGGCTTTAGAAACTCGGTAAGGATACTTCAGTCCAGCGCATATACCTTCTATTTTATACAGAGAGCTCAAATTGGGGTAACTTTGACGGGCTATTTATTGTAAGGGGCATGCACTCATCCGCTGCTCTGAGCAGCAAATGACAGCTATCTCTTTCTAAAACAAAATAATGAACTAATCATGGCAAGCGACAAAGCGTCAACTATGATCTTTTCGTTTAGGACGAACTTCCATCAGGGTTAAAAATTTCTTTCTGACCTTAAATTGGCGACCTGCGTTATTGCTAGTTTTTATGTGGCTTTAGAAAAATTCGAGGAATATTTTTATGAAGTAAGTCGGAAGATTTTTAATAGAGATTGGATCAAAAAGGCTCGGAGCTCCATTTTTTTATAAACCTATGTTTTTTTTCTAAGGAAACTGAAAACAGCTTTAGAGAGGAAAGATCTTCAGTTATCAATTGGGCCGTCCACATAAGCTCCAACGTTCAGTCCTTTTAAGACTTTTTGTAGGTTCTAAAATTCTTGGCCCATTTGGGACATTTCATTTTCAGGACCTTTGACGTGCTATCAGCTTAACGTAACAAGTCTGTTAAATATTCCTGTACGCAGCGTATTTGAGCGAAACTTTAACGAGCCTACATCTACTGATATGCCCTGACTCACGGTTACTATTAAAAAAGTTATTTGTGTATTAAAGAGGGAATCTATTGTAGATGATCAGTGAGTAGCGTAGATTCTGAACTGAAGCTGTAATTTGATTAATAAACATGGCTGCCAGGAATGATATTTCTAGGATATGCGAAAACTTGCATTGCAATATCTGATGTTGTCTAGATACAACCCTAGAAGCAAGGCACACGAGAAATTCTCAATTTAGATGTTATCCTGTAATAAATGTTTATTCGAATGACTGTTTCGGCATAAGCGCATCTTTCTAGACACCGAATGTATACTTGTATGATATGTATGTACAATTGGAAGATTTATCTTAAACTCCTACAGGAAACCCCTGGTAGCTGGCGCAAAATAATTTTTTTCCCTTCAGCAAATATTGATTACAAGAAAGCATTCTACCGGCATTGGTCGGATATGAGATTATAAACCATGAAGTAAGTGAACTAATGTTTTTTATGCAGATTTCAAGAACAATGTCATTTCAAAGATGGCTAGTCTGTATACCCTTAGCGAATGAGCTCTTCCAGCCCCGTTAGGTGTTATTTGTGGATTCACACTATGAATAATTTTTGTGCAGTTGCTATACTGCTGTTTCGAAACATCTCAAGGCGGATTCGGTTGACAGTCGACGTAAACTCGGTTGGCTTAGCCCAAGTCAAATTTGGAAGCATCTTTAGTAAAACGAGGGCCATATTTAAAAGCGAGTGTTGCAGGCTGCTTAGAAAACCAATGGTGGAGTAGCTCGCGAAATCAAGTCGGCAGTGGTAATAGGCGATCAATATGGGTAAATTCAGGCACAGTAGTCTATTAAGTCCTTTTTATATGTGATTAATATAAAACGAACGGATAAATGAGAATGTGAATGGGAAAAACGAATCCCAATGGACTAGCGGTTCAGTTCTCAACATAATACTGATACGGAGCCTAATTTTACTCACGCTACTAAAAAAAAAAAGCGATTTAGTGATTTTCGAAAATGGTCAAACTTTAATCGACAAGTTTTGTGTATCAGTGTGTTTTTTAGTTCATGTGTAGCCAAATTTTGACGATACGTCCATGTTTCTGAATGGTCTATGAAGCTGTGACGACAAACTTGAATTTAATATCAGTTACAGAAATATATTGGTCACTATCGATTGACCTGTAACATGTCTCTGAACAGGCGCCGCCTCTTGAATGAGAGTATAATAAGTACATTTATACGAGGTTTATTTCTTTTACCGTAACAACAAAAAGGAACACTGTGCAGTGTTATAACTTTGGCGTTTTGGACAAAATATCCAATTCTCCAAACAACCATCAGGCTACTGTTTCACGATGACCAAAGGCAGGATCGGCCAAAAGAATATTTTGCTGAATCCGAAAAAGAAACACTTGCTTCAAAGTTTCTTCGAAACGCCTTTCTAGCAGAGTTTCAATGTCGTCTGAATAAAGCTCATGTCTAAATAAGGCTTGAGTACTGTTAGAATAATATTCGTATAGCGCCTACTGCGATAATACACGGACATAATAGATCAACGTTACGGGTCTCCCTCGGAACTTTTAAACGGTTAACTAATTAGATCTGCGATAGGAGTACCTTTGAAAAATGTAAATTTTTTTTGTAAAAAAAGGATTTGCTTATCGTAATTACTTTGTTAGCCATAAGAGTATGTAGTTGAAGCCGCGAGCGAAGAAAAGAGCTTGCGATGGTATGTCCATTACGAAGGCCGCTTAAACGTCATGCTAGAATTTCTCTCTACTTGACTTACGAACAAACGACGTGAAACTTACTGAGACCCGTGCGAACTGGTTATGGGAGGTGTGAATAAGGTAAACTCTCGCAATTCAAAGTATGGAATGAATATGATCGATTTACTTTTTCACGGTTTGCTAATGTTAAAAATAGCAGTTCGCCAAGAATACGCTACACATGGCGGCAAGTTGGTTGGAAATGGCTACTTAAACAAACGTTCTGTGGGGTTTCAAGTAAGAACCTCTCCAGTTAGATCGCTCGTCGGACTCGGTAAATAATTTAGATACACGAGCGTCTGATGCGCAATTCACTTCGAAACAAAATAGGCCTTTTAATGTCTGTTCTAATATCCAGCTTATGTAGCATAGCACGTCACAGCGATTTAGCAGTCACGATATTGTGTGTGAAAAACTTCTTCAGTAATTTCTACGGTAGATAGAATCAAATCAATAATAGAGTCAACATATCTTTTTTTTAGTTTACTACCCATAATTAGTAGTAGCAAACACCCGACGATGACAAAAATCAAGCCAGCGGCTCTAATCTTTCTTGACGCCGAGAGAATTTCTTAACAAGAGTATAATTCAGATCTACCCGCTACAAGGGTTTTCGACTTTGCTGAGGGGATTCTTACATATGGATATTAAAGTAAAAAACACTATTTCGTCTTTTTTTTTTGTAGATGCTCCTTAATGATATGCTACAATAGAGACCATTGGGTCACGCGGTCCGTTTTGTCACTGAATGCGATGCATTCGGGAAGTTCACCCTTTAAAGAATCGTGGTGACGTTTAAAGAGCGTTTCTGCACTGGTGCATAAATATAGAGTATCCACGTTCACTGTGTTAGCTGCTCCGCCACACACATCTCTCAATCAAAGAATCTCAAATCAGGAAGACTCTCTCAAACGACTTCGACTTGCCTATAGTTGCGTTCACGACGGAACATTAGCAGAAACTGGAGTGAGATATACGAAACGGTAACGTCGATTATGTATCGTTTGATCATACAGGCTTACTACGGAAAGAACGGTGGGCTTTGATCAGCGTTTTTAACCCTGTCGCAGACAAATCGGAATCGTATTTCTTTATTAAGCTGACATATAAAACAAACTGTTATCTAGTGGAATCTGCGTCAAAACTGCAGTTCAGATGAGTGTTTTAGGAAAGGACTTAAAAGAAGGGTATAGAGATACCATGCCAATGACAACACTAAGCTAATTCAATACTGTACAGAGAGTATATATGTACGCCGACGATGCGATCAAAATCCATTACATTACCTTTGCTTGCTTGCGATTACTTACTCGGGCGATGAACATCAGTACGCTTTCGGTGGAAAAAAAATTCTTCTATGGTTGAATCGCAGGGAGCGGGGGTCTTAGCATGAACATCAGGGACGTTGTTCCCATTATAAGAAACAGTTAAAATTGTATATCAATTTCCAGTTTATAGAGACGACCGACTTTAAACTTCTGCTACATAGTTACACGTGCTGTGTTTTGCGTCTGCATCTAATTAAATGACGTTATTTTTGCTGCGCGAAGTATGAGAGGAGCTTAGTTGATATCATATGAATTCATCAGCAAAGGATGCCTGCGACTTGAAAAAAACACGCTAGCAGGACGTCGTTTGCTCTTACATGTTTACGTGGAAACTTAGCAAACTGCCTCCTTGGATTATTTCGCATTTGGTACCTGTCTAGGTTTTGAATTATGGAGACAGAGAATTGTCGAAGACCTACCTGTACTATAAACTGCTCAAACAATAAATGCAGAAAATTATTCGAAGATTTTCTAATCTAGTCTACAAATTGAAACAAAAAAAAAACTCTGAACAGGCAAAACACACAAAGTGATCGCGTCGCATGACAATACCAAACGGCGTTTTTAATTGATTTCAGAATAGTCCCTTGACCAAACACGAATTGCCTAGGTTTAGTCTACAACTTTTACCCGACTCGGTGGTATCATTAACGTGTCAAATATATCTAAGCTGGAAGGAAAGCGAGTCAGGACAGAAACCGAAATTCAAAAATGCGTTAATAAACCAATTTCACCCTATGGACATCTTCTTTTTGTTTGTCTTTTTTTTTGTATCAGAATAACTATCTGTTTCCTGAACGATGATCGAATAATATAGCCAAAGACGTTATGTGTCGCTAGAAAAGGAAAGGCAAAAGTTAGCATGGCTGCTCTTAGGGAGAGTGGTAAAATGAAAACGGCCTATTGACGTGACCTAGTTCAAATATTTTATACGATGACGGTATTGTGCGCAATGAAGTGTGATTTAATCGAGGGGATGTGATTAAAAAATATTTGGTCTATGGCACGAAAATGTAACATTGATCCATAAGTAGTAGACCAATACCCGACAATATAGATAGATATACGTATGGATGACCTTATTTTGAAGTCGCATCATCGAATATACTAACTTATGCCTCTGTTAATAATAAGACACACGTAATTATAGTAGCAAAGAAAAGGCGCTAACATGAAGTCTGACTTTTTTTACTGTTGCTTAGAAGAGAAAGTAAGTTTAATTCAATGTAGTTAGCTAACGGCCCACAATAAATTCATAATACAATTGTATTTAGCAAGTGATCGTATCATACTTTTGTATTATCTTGGAGCTTCGGCCCGAGCCAATCAGAAAGGTTGTGTAAGCCATTTTTACGCCAGTTCTTTGTAGCTTAACTAACAGACCAATTATTTATTATTATCTATTATATATTAGTTATTTAGCAATGTAAAATACAAAACGCTTAGTAATCATTTTATGATTTGATAAATTTATTAAAATGTTATCAGAGCGGCGTTGGTTGCCGGCAAAGGTATAACATATTGTTCCATAACATTGTTTACTTCTATCATCTCTTCCATCATCATCATCATTGTTTTCTTTTCTCATTACGCCTCGTCTATTAGATCTTCAGGTGTCTATTTTATGTGAGTGTACTGCATATGGGTATGCCACGTCCTTCACTGTGAATACAATTCTTTTTCCTATGCGCGCGTGTGTGTGTGTGTGTGTGTGTGTATGTGTATCTTTCGTATATTTTTTTCTCTAATAGTTGTTGCTATTTATTCGTTTATTGGATAAACACAGCTTAGCTTTACACTAACCAACAGCTTCAGTGTTTTCTTTTATTTCTATATAATATATAATGTATGCATATAGATATATACAGTAACACTCTGTGGCCAGCCAACCCCTTCCGTATTTAGAAGAAAGGTCTATGTACAAGTAGGTGTATTAATTTTGTTTCTATCCGTTTCATATTAATTTTATTATTAATATCATTACTAGCACTAGCGTCCGGCGGAAAAACGATCTAACGTTGTGTCAGCCAGGGGTGCGACCCATTGATCTGACTAATCGAAACAGCTTTCATGTTCTTGTCACGGGTAGCGTCCCGCCTTCAGCCTCCCCTCTTTTCTCCCCACTATATTTTCGCATGCCCTTGTTACAGCTCAAGTCTGTTGCAGCCATTATTATCGACCACAAATGCGCCGAAGTAAACACCGATCTATTTTTGACTATGTTCTTTTTTGTTGGGGCAAAAGGGCGTAACTACTTAGGTACAGCTTAGAGAGTAAGTTTCGAAGTCACTTTTTCTCACAGTCTCTATTTTAGCGAATGGTGACAATTGCTCAATTATAAGTACGTGTAGGGAAACAGAACAAGCAATATATCGCCTAAAGGAAGACGCAGAATAGCTGATACCATAACCTACTAGCTGATGTACGTAGGGTAATATCACATACAGTTGCACACACGAATGCATATTCCATCGTTTAGTGTTGTTGGTATTCTGGTTCAACCGCTGCGTTCATCATCATCCCCCCTAGTTCGCCATAAACCCATAGCAACCGCTATCAATCTCGTAGCTCTTAGGCCGATGGTCATCGATTTTCTCTCGAAGATGTCGCAAATCTTTATTACTGTTCATTGGGCATGCTGCTGTCGAGAGGACTATAGTGAATCGTGAGTCGCCACCGAACGACCCATAATAACAGCCTTACAAGAAGCACCTACATGCCATCTCGTCTCAAATACTAAAAACTGTCTACAGTATCCTAATGTCATGGCCACGATCAGCATCCCCGGCGTTAGTTAATACTGTGTGTACTATAGGATATTTCAATATTAGATGCATGACCTCTATCTCGTTCATCTGTACGGCTTGCGCCCAGTTGTGTTATTACCCTCTTACGCGTTTCATTATAACCTCCAGCTTTATTTGCCTTTGTTTGAACTCGAGTGTTGATTGCGTTGGACGTGGTGCTGAAGAGTTGAGCGATGTCTTTATATTTCCATGTGGGCTTTCGGACATGAACTAAAACCAACAGCAGCCACCTTTGATCCGAAGGTAGCTAACTGGTCACTTACCACCACCGGATTTACATGGCCAGATAGAGTATTTTTACGTTTACGTAATTCGTCACTGTAATTTGCATGTTACGTATTTCTGCCGTCAGTTTTCCTGCAGGCGATTTTACTCAGTTGATCTTTTGCTGCTCCACTTGACCCTCTTTCCATTTACTGGTTTACGGTTAACAATGATTTTAAACGTTCTACGAATTGTTCTACCCGATAATGAGTCTCTGCTGATCTCTCGTTCGAAAAAAGCTGTACAGACATAGCACTGGAACATTTCTTGCGTTGATAACTTGCTCTTATATATATATATATATGTATATATATATAAGGAAAAGCAGGACACCATGATAAATGACATCTCTTCAACACTAAGGAGACGCATTCGTCATATCACATCTAGTGAACATCTTTCGCACGTGCTCTTCGACATTAATTTCTACCGTCTAAAACATTGAACGTATGCGCAATATATATATATATATATATATATGTGCTTTTCCTTTCTTTTTCGCTGTGTTCCTCGTTCTCCGTTTTCGATTGGCGTGGAAAACAGACGACACCAAACTTTTTCTAAAACCCGTGTGTAATCGACAACACTTCCGTTACGTAACATTGTAAATAATTTTTTTGAAAACTTATACCACTAATCAGGCCTAGCTAAATACTTGTTGTGATCTACATTTGAAACATTGCAGTACCTTTTACATCATTCATCAATTCATTCTCCCTAGAATTTGTTATCTGGCTGCCTTGTGAGGACAAGCATCACTTAGCGTAACGTTTTACTTGGATGGGTCTTTTTTAACCTAGAGATGATATCAGCTGTATCGTTTATGGGTTCATACACAGACAAAATGCCAACATCCAAACCTTTGTCGAACCTCCTCATTAGTCACAGTCGTCAAATATAATACTTGTCTTCATTTTCACTCTCGCAGGCTCTCGCTTGGAATAACTCCAAGGGCCGTAATTTCTCGCTCTCTCTCTCTCTCTCTCTCTCTCTCTCTCTCTCTCTCTCTCTGCCTCCCTCCACCGCGTCCTGGCTCTTAATGTCATTCTTCAAAGATTCTCTGAAAGTTGATGATCATAGAGCAAACTTCACTTTCACACTCACTCACACACACACACACACACAGACTCCAACACCACACACACACGCACACACACACACACACCCATACACGAATGCACTGCCGCTATGAAGGTATCTACGCCGCTTTTACCATAGATTGCTACAGTTACTGATCAAGCAAATAAGTCATAAAGCCAAGGGCTTTATTACGAAGCCATTACGCTTAGACATCAACAACGGAGCGTTAGGTTGCTGCCAAGTTCTTAAGTTTAGCGTTCCTTCACTCACTGAAGCTGGTAAGCGCAAATCATTTTTAAAATTCATAACGAAAATATAGTTATTTGCTAATTCCGTAATCATAGAAAAAATGCCAAACCATATGGTATAATTTAAACGAGCGAGCAAAACAGCTGGGTATTTTTGTACGCACCCTTTACCAATGAATCAGTCACTTAACATTTTAAGTATTCTCCACTTATACTGATCTCGGAAGATAATAGAGGAATACCAATCAGAATAGAAGTTAAGTGCACACGTTCTTCATAAATAGAGGAATACGTGCACTTTACTGACGCTTAACGCACAGCAGTTGTGCTTTAAACTGCCCTTTGTTCGTGATAGACACAACTTAAATACTATAATACTATATATATATATACTTTACAGAGTGAATCGTCTTGGACTCAGGCTGGCTTTGTGGCAGTGAACACTGAACGGGCTAATAGACCAGACTTGGATAGAAGACACAGGGTAAGTGGCACATCTTGTCCAGATTCTTCGCTCATACAAAAAAGTAAACGTTTGTATGACTACACTGACTCGTCGTTTAGAATAGGGCGAAGCTTCTCTTCGCAGATCGACACGACGAGAATGGCGGATCAAAGAAAGAGATCGTTGGAATGGGATACGCTCTATGACGGTCACGTTAATCCGTCACGATTGGCTAATCGGTACCCGTTCGGCATACTGTCACTTCACGTACGTCACAATAGACAGTGTGATGATTTTTCTCGTAGCTGTGACTCGTTTTGAGCATCGTTCGGCGTTAGATTCTACCAGAACGCTTGCAAGTTGTTTTTCCGCGATATGTGGAAGTACTAGTGCACTATAAGTAATTTCTTGTTATCTTTGTTAAAAGTTATTGGCAAAATCTATCGAACCGCTCGGATTGGAAATTCAGGCTTGAAACAACATTTATCGCTTCATGATACAACCATTCCTATCAATACCTAGTCGTCGTGTTATAAAACTAGCAAACAATATGTTATGTGTGTTTTGTTTTTGACCTTGCAAAGGCTTTTGAAATCATATTACCCTAACACTAAACTGGCGTCCGCATCAGTGACGTAAGAGAACTATCTGGCAAAGCTGTTTGATTCAGTGCATACGCTAATTTACTAATCTATTATACATTCAAACAAGCATATCAGATGGAGCAAAACAAGCTTGTTAGCACGACGAGCTGAGTTGGGAGACAGTGATCCTCATAGTGCATAGTTGATGGAGAAAATATGAGGCGCTAGTTCCTCTCCTTCGGCGTCCTTCCAAGCCGCATGAGAGTAGGTAAAGGCCGCAAAGCAGAAGGACAGGCGTGATCTTAACGAATTGTATGGATTAACCTTACTTACATAACACAAACAGCTATTACCACTGCTACTATTTGTTCAGGGCACGTGGCTGAGCGTGGTGTGAGCCGATTCCGGCGCATTGTTGAGCACGGTCAGATGCGTGAGTTGATCGGATCCGTGGAGCATCGACACCGAGTCGTCCCCATTGAGCGATGCTGGGGGAACCTTTTTCGACTGCAGTGATTGTAAGTAGTTCTGAAAAAGCATCGATAGCGACAACAAAAAACAAACTCACTTTCACCGCAGTACGAATTTAGATCAGACCAGGGTCCGTCATGATATATAATTATTACATTGAAGCCAATTCAGAATTAGATAGAGGAGTTCCAATGGTAATAATAATAGTAATAACCTATTGCACAAAAGCACGCACCCTGACCAGATGGGATAAAGATTAATTAAATTCAGACGACATATAACACGTAAGAACTAACAGTTGTATTAAGACGAAGTAGCAGTAAGCATATTTATTAAAATTATTTAAACGGGGTTCCCAGAGTTAACCAAAGACGCGCGGTAGACTAGCATGCCAGAGCCTATATGTTAGGCCATACTTATTGCATAAGTGACTTTGTTGACGTTTTTTAAATGACAACTAAAATCAATTGGCCCATCATTAACAGTTCGAGCCAGCTCCGAATTCCATAAGGCCATAATGAGTGCCATAGTCCTGCAATGGTTACTATCGAGTCAAGACATGTCCACAGTGACCAACGCATGCGTGCAGGCCGATTTCATTGATGATGCCGTGCTAATATTAGACCTTTAGCTCACAAGAATTGCTCAAGGAATAGGGAACTAAACCTCTCCTTAAGAGTAGAACTTAATTCTCTGGGTTCGCAGCTCTCAAATATCCTTGTAGGTTCGTACATAGCATTCAGCTCGTAGACTATCCTTGCTTTGGCTTAATGGCCATTCGTTGCATGCATGTCTTGATACTGCCAATGTGTTCGGTTGGGTCATGCCAGATACAAATAAACGGTTTCTCTAATCATTTTCTTTATGCGAGTTTGTACACAAGTTCATTATGGCAGCCAACCAATGATTTGTAGCTTTTGTTGTGGTTTTTAGATGTGGTATGTTTATCTTGTTGTTCAGAAAGGTCTCTAAAGCTACTGGACCAACGTGTGTCGTGGTTTAAAATTAGATCATCGGTGATATAGGTCTTGTTAGCGTGTCAGCAAACAGTAAAACCTCATTACTCTTCAGCGCTGTTGTTTGGTGTATACGATAAATTGGTAGCCTTCTATCTATCGTGTGAATTTTTTGAGAACTTTGTATTTGAGTTCAATTCTAAATAATTTATAAATAATAATGGTGACAAGATAGTCATCTCGGTTTGTCGGTAAGTGTGAATCAGATATGAGAACCTAAGCGAAATGTACTTCACCGATTGATGATAAAGACTGAGCGACTTGTCAGATAGAGATCGTCTGACAAGCTGCGGCAAAAAACAAGAAGATCACAAAAATAAGTTGTCAAAAATACTTCAAACCGTCCATATATATATATATATATATATATATATATATATATATATATAGGCATTATTTTGCGTGAAGGGTCCGATAAATAACGATGCAACAATATTTCTACCTGTGTAGTGCCTCGGAACAGAAATAGAAAATGGGTAACGCGCGAGTCCATCTATAGGCATGCCTTACCGGTTATATGCACAAAAATACAAACTAGTTAAATACTCTGACAGCAGCAGAAAAGATCTGAATGGAGGCCGTATTGAGGATACACCGTTCTGGTTAATTTTCCTTACCTGAGATATTACGTCCCCATGAGAAGTTCGAATCTGGTAAAGATATCGGTATTTTCTCTGCTGCTGCTGGGCTCTCGTTTCTTCTTGTCGAACGCGCTGCAGATTAAAGTTACGTGATTGGCGAGCCGGCGTCACTGGAACAATGATAGTAAATCATTTGACATTGTAGCTTCTAAATGGAAATGTGCCTTATAAAAAAGAAAAACGTAATTGTTGTATTTGTTAAAATCAGGTCAATGAGCTGTAAGTTCAGCGGGGCCATATTTTCTGCTTTATATATAATCTAAGTGGCATACTGATAGCTTTTTTGTGTACTATACAGCGTTCGAAGTAAAGCTGTTTTCTTCTTAAATGTACTCTTGTTCATCTGCAACTCGCATTGAATGGTGCCTCTGTCTGTTTGGAGTTCTACGTCGAGTACTAGCATTAAGCATAGCTTCAGACTAGCATAACGTACTACCGACGCTATGGCCTTACTGATTCCGAAGCCATACAACTGAGAGTATTTGGGCTTTCTGTGTTTGACGTATAGAGAGAGATTTAACGAAACGTTATCGCATGTGAACAGTGGGCTGAAGGAGGTGCAGTATTTACTGACAGGAGAGGATTCCTTAGGACTGAGGATCGGGAACCTTAGAAAACGAGCGGTGCAAGAAAGTCAATGAAGAAATGTGCCTCATGCTTTTTTAGTACCAGACAATATCACAACATCTCTTTAGGAAAAGTACTTTCGGAAAAAGTAGGAAAAGTAGGAAAGTACGTGTAGGGCAGCAGTTATCGTCAGACAACGCTAGTTAGTCCGGTTTGAAGCACAGTTGTTAAGATTTATGTGGTAGGGCACCTTTGGACGCATCCAACGCAAGTATAATAAGATTTGTTAGAGCAGGTGCGACGCGGCTGTACATAACCTACCTCTACGTATCGGAGTCGCTAATATTTGTCAACGAAAGAACAGCTTGCACCAATCTATTGCATAGTATTCTATCTAAACTAGAATGATCTTTTTTCATGTGTTGCTACGTAGACCAAGAACGAATGACGCAATGGCAACACGCTAATGGTAATGAGGTAAATCATGTGTTGCATGTTATTCCAATCATGCATTCTCCACATTTGGGTAACTATATTTTTAAAGGTGACTTTTCTCCTCTTGCTCAGTGCTGGTCATGGCTTGCCTCTGAGGCAAAAGCGACGCTGCTGTTCATAAGCCAATACGAATCCGGTGCGGTTGCCAAATTTATAATAATAATACAATACAATGTAGGGCTGACTGGATATCCAACTATGTGTGCTGGCGAACATGCTGCCCTATTGCGTGACAGCCCCACGAAAAACACGACGTTTTTCGTGCGAGTTAGTGCGCTTCTTAATTCTCGTAAAGTCTATACTATAGATGCACTTGCACTTAATTTCTTTCAAACCATTACGGTGAGCGTTCGGTAATAAGCCGGGCTGTGTTGATTTACAATGCTAATGATTGCTCAATACCTATCGCAAGGCGTTAATGGCGCCTATACGGGTATAAGGACTAAGGGTGAGTGGGTGTCGTATGGAGCGCAGCGTACACATCTTAGGAATAATGGATTTATCTCCTATACAGCGTGTTCAAATGGTAATATTATTAATGATGATCATAATACTAGCTCGGACTCACTTCTTTCATGATGTAGGCCTCTTCCTGTGACGCAGAATTGAGTGACTAGGCCGAGGAGAATGAGGCCTGGCCAGAGAGCTAATGTAGCCCAGGAAAACCAGCATACCGGCTGAGGAGTTTTCAAAGAGATCATGGATAGAACCCAATGGCCCATCTTGGCGCGCGACATGAAATAGTCAGCTGAGAGCGATAACAGCGCTCCGCCGTATACCGATGATCCGATTACCGTCAGACCTGTTCAACAATTTGCATCAGAAAAAGTCAGTGAATAGCCTTCGCAAAAGGAAATTAAAGCGGTAGAGTGAGACGGAGAGAACCGTATGTTGTAGGAGAAGAAAGATAATTGATTATGTGGAGGAACTAGGGCGTTACAAGGATACTGTGATATTCTTTTCGTTCGCACTAAACTACCCGTGCTATGTACTTATTATTTATTTATTAATTCTGATGACACCGTTGGGGTATTTTCCAAGCTATGTATCATATGTGATGTAGGATAGCTAAGTTCAAAAACAGATCGGCTATATTTCTATCAAAAAACTGTTACCTTTATCAAGCAAGATTTGTAGAAATACCGTGTATTCCATAGAGATTTCCTTACCCTTTTGGAAGTATAGGTTAGCCATCGATCCGATGATGCCAGAAACCATAAAAATCCCAACGCAAATCCACATTGTTACGGGTGTTGATCCAAGAAGACGACTGATCACGATCCCACTGATACCCCCAAAGAGACCCGAGTGGAAGCCCAAAACAAACAGGCCCGCATGCTGAACAAGTGTCGTGATTAGACCAAACAACACTCCTGCGCCCACTGATACCCCAACATTACCGGACATAGGTAAAAGGTCCTCTACAGTGCAGATCTGAAAATGAAAACAACACACAGGCAACTAATGTAGTCCGATAGCAATCTTAAAATGGTTGTACCCCACCGGACAAACAGAAAGATTCGGCAATCTATATAATGTTACAGCCTTTAACTTCACCAGGCAAGCTGGGCCTAATATAAATTTTGGAAACGCTCATATTACCTATTATAATTACAAGACGCTCATATAATTATATCATACGAAACAACTCGATTTACATTCCAGTGTTTATTCTGCACAATTCGAAGGTTAGGCAGGTGTAAGAATATATATATATGTGTATATGTAGCTGATTCTTGGTATAGTAATTTACGTTCCATTCGGCAACTATGGGCCATTTGGTTAAGAATAGACATTCTAAATTTATCTGTACATTTCATCGGCTGAGCCATACGGCGTATCCCTATTAAAGTGCCCAGCTCTCAATTTATATAAGCTAGAATTAGTTTAGCTAGATTTGAGCAAATTAACTACCGACGAGAAGATCGTTCTAATATGAAGTAAGATATATTTTTAGAAAAAACAGTGAAGGTTTTTCGCACTCGAATTTCAACCTTTCCGTTAGCTAAAAAATCACAGATCAGTGTGTCCTACATATTGCTTCCCTATTTGACTTTGTAATATTTTACATGATGCCCTATCTACCAGCAACAAGAAGTTGTAGTTCTGTAGCTGGAACAACAACTAGTATAACATGTCAACCACCTTTACCACACGGACCTGTATAATTCTATTCGGAACCTATGCTCTCTTTATGAGCCACTTTTCTCTGCCTTGACGGGCGGAAATTTCCAATGAAAGGCTAGTCTTCGAAGAACAAAACAAGGTTAACGTGCTCTTCTTTTTAGTCCGGGTAAGATTTACGGTTGACAAACCTACCTAGCTAATATTTATTCGTTTATTATAAGCTACCATAGGTGACGCAAAGTGGCGCGGGAACGTTTCCGAGTTGTAGGGATCATACTGTTAGCACACCTTGTTCAAGGGTGACAAATTGTTTCAGTATCTAAATGCAAGAGACAAATTCTATACTGTTATTCAGTAGCATGAAACATGTTCAGTAACAGTGAGTAACATGAAAATGCGGATTGATTTCCGGTCACAAATTTCTCTTTTTGATTCTGCTAAGGGGGCTACAAAGCGTAATTGAAGCCGAGTTCATTGGACTAGCTTGGGATTGTTTCCTAAACAAGTCAAGAGACATTTTTCTCAGATAGATATAAACAAATAAGACTATATTTGGAGGATTGTCAGCTTGATATCGGTTGTATATGGATAGGATTGGCGCTTGGTCTAGGCACATTGTTCGATGTTGTTATTGATAATTTGTCCTGCACGAGAAGACTTTCGTTCGAACGCGACGCAGCTTGTGGATAGCGTTCTGAGAACGGCTAGGCAAGCCGGGTTCGAAGCGGGTTCAGCCTGGATCCGCCAATTGATGAGACAATCTAAATGGTGATTAGTGCAACTGTATTACATTTCCGTTAGAAAGCGTAAGCTCCACAATTCACTGTGACTATCAGTGAAACTTTACATACTTTAGAAAAGTAAGTTGTAAACTTTGCAACTGAAGGGCAAACGTATCAGTCGATGTTGATACACTGAAAGGGATAGATAGTTTATCGCGCATAGTAACCATAAATGTTAGCACCCGACTCGCTATGCCGTATCAGTTTGTACTGCACCTAATATAGCAGTAGTGAAGAGTCTTTTGCTTTGAGCTCACCGATGTCCACACCGTAGTGTTTGCTTTTATTGAAGTAGGCACTATGTGGATGGTAGGAAAGGCACCTACTTTTTCGTAGTTCATCATGTCTATACAATGAGCAACTCGTTAAGCTCAAACACTATCTTGAAACGCAAAAAATAAATGGAACAATATAAAACCTTTTTTTGCCACATGATAGCTACAAGAGAAAATCTGGCCCAAGGAAGCGTGCATATTGTTTTTAAAGTGTTTACAAGCGATGTTGATGTCTAAGGTTGCTGATCTTTACCTTGTACACGATTAGGGTAGCAAACATAAAGCCAGTTAGAAACATGGTAAGTTTGAAAGCTCGATATCCATACAGCACAAACACAAGTCCAAACAGGGCGAGGCAGGAAAAAACCGAAGCAGGGTATGGATCATAATCAAGGGGGATGCTCTCGCAATCGGGCAGTGCTCCCGATGATACGTTGTAGTCGCGCGCCTCGTCCAAAAAGTGGTCCGTGTGACGGGGCCATTGCTCCGTGCTGACCGCCGTCGCCATGTTAGTGGCCGACCCAGCGGTGTAGCCCGCCAAGGGCCCGCCGGCGCCTTTTAGGCCAGCCTGGCGCCCGCGAGGACTGATTGGAGGGTTCTTGTCGTCGCGTTCAATGCCTGCAATTGTGAAGAAAAATGACAGATTACGCGACATTGTTAGGACGCCAGTACGATATATGTTTCAGTGTTGACACGTGCCCTACTGGAACGCTCACCTGAAACCGGGGCAATTAAACATCCTGGAAAACCTAACTCTTAAGAACCAATGAGTCACCTTATGGCGGTACGTGTTCATCTTTCCTAAGCTATAATAGCGCCCTCTGAAGGAACAATTGGATTTTTAGCATTATCAGCCCGAGGTGATCCTGATACCGCAATTGTTAATGGCACTTCCAGGTGTCGAATCATCGGTTCTAAAAGCCTTCTAAAGCCGTCACATTGAAGCATTTTTTCACTATGCCTGGGAGTAGCACTTGGAACTATTTCAATCTCCCCGAAACATTCCAAGACTGACTCGCTTTGCCCTATACGGGTCAATTTTTGGGTGCGCAAAACTTTCAAAAATGCTGGTATCGTCTCCAAGATGAACGAGTATCTTAACTTAGAGTCAAAGTAACCTACTTCCTCACGGGGCGTAACATTTAACTACCAAATACAGATTGTTTCTCAATTCGTGAGTGTATTGACTTTATCGTTGTTGGACTTTCCCCAATTAGTGCTCGTCATTCTGCCTTTGACCGAGGTCTTACGGAGAAGTACTATGACCATGGCGTCCGAGATCAAGAAAGATGGACACAAATGGGAACGATGAAGATTAACTGCTAGCATCTGTTTTCCCCTACGTTGCTCTCACGCTTTCGCTATCACGTTCTTACTCGACGTCCCTCTAAGGACTCCCGCCTCTGCTGTGTTATCTCGGTTCTGCTGATCTCCACAAGAAGTTTACGAATTGCCTGGGATACAGACAGTTTGCAGCTGCGGTTCTGGGCACTCAGCCAATCTCCATCTCATACACGTCTCGTAGGTGTAAAAAAATTAAGCGACACAGAGCAACGATTACGCCCAAGGGACGAGTGTTCGCCCATCTGACCAACTTTTCATTGGCAACTGTCGACCCAGAGGCCATCCGATTGACTCCAAGTGGCGGCAGTGACAGCGCAATCAGCACCTGCAATTGAATATCCGAGGCTGTGGGCCAGTTCGTTGGGTGTCTAAAACTCTGTGACGGTTCCTACTTAATTTCATGCTGCCTGCTGTGTTTGTGACTCTGATCGTAAGTCCAAACCCAAAAGTAAGCGGAACACCTTTGGAGCTTTATTTCCACTATTCGACGGTGAGGCACTGCCCGAACAGAGATTGGCACTGGTCCATACGATACTATCGAAGCAAAAAATCGTTATTTCTACGCTGTAACTGTCGTCGTCATCGACGAAGAAGCACGATATTGTAACAACGAAGTTGAATGAATGAATAATCCCAAAGCTTATTTCGGCGCTGTGGAACGTATCTTTGATGCTGGCGCAGTGTTATAGCCGTATATGCTTTATTTGCTCGAAATTTCTATCTGTTTGCAGTGGTTGTCATTTCCTTTCATAGGAGTCACACCAGACGACGTGAGGCCTTAATAGGGAACACGCCTGGCAGATGGGATCGGTTACATTTGGCCGTCCCCTTTTCTCTGTGGGGTTAGCCTGGTGACGTAACTCGAGTGGCTAGGCACATAGACAAGTAGGCATACACACCTAGGATGACAGGCATCTGCAATCTGCATGCTGTGTCTGCAACAATCATTTACGCTTTTTGGCAGGAAAGCAAAAAAGCAGCAGACATTATGAGTTGGGTAGTTTATAGATGCTCAATAATGGATTAAAGTTTTAAGAAAGAAGTTGCTCGCTTAATTGCTGTTCGGTTCCGGCGGCAAATTCTGCCTTTCATTTCGATTTGGTCAATGAACAATTCAATAGAAAATCAGGTATTCCGAGAGCGGAAACCCATACATGTGGGTACCACCGAAGGTGTATTATAAAGTTTTTCAGTAACCAAATCCAAACATAGTTTCCACACCCAATTTGCGTCTATCCTACATCAGCCTACCCGTGGTCATCCACCTCTGAGCACCTTCACTCAAGTTAAAATACTTTTTAAGGTACTTGTTTATAACTGGGCTAAGACGACAGTAGGTGATTACTATGCGACTCCGCCAATCTGTGACCGATTCAGTCACTCAGTTAACATATAACAGCTCAGTGTTTCACCCATTTGCTGGTAGAACTTTGAAGTGTAAACCAGCCGTTGACAACGCCACCACAAATCGCTATTGTTTTCCCCTTCCTTCTTTAACACTCTGCCTTCTATTTACTCAACCACTTTGTTTGTCAAGTTATTTATCTAGCCGGGCTACAATATGTTGTTATGCATAGCAGACAGCCTCAGCAGTAGACGAGCATCCATAGCAAAATTTAACAGAAAAGCTGGTACTATTTATTCATGATTGCCATTCTCAAGCACGAACCACATTACCGCTGGTGTTGTCGCTGCTGCCGATGTCGATGGTAGCGTCCAGGGTTCCACTACTCGGACTTAGAGCTGCTAATGGGAACAAGACTAATGGGAGCAAGACTTATTAACAAGGCAACAATTGCCTGTTGGCCTTCTTCCGTCTGGGACCGGCAGCATTATCACTGGAGGCTTGAAGCGTACCGATCGATTTTTGTGGCAGATACCCTGAATAGCCTTCGCCTTGAGCAGTTACTCCGGCGCCTTTTTGCTATTACTACTGCTACGAGTTGTAATATAAACTTTTGAGGGCCACAGGTGCGGGATAGGACGTGCCCAGTGAAGAACGTAAAGGTGGAGCAAGGCAACAACAACGTGCTACTCTATAGTCTACTATGGTATATACGCTATCGGTGCTGCCGCCGCCATTTTCAAGGGGGTGCTACTGTAACAGCTTCAAACAGACGCAGTACGCTGCCTTTCCAGTTGCATGGCCCTCGCCATCAGGCCGACAACAAAAAACTGCTCCACCTACGAAGTGCTTCAGGCCCTCATATCACCTTATATTTACAGTGTTAACGATTGTCCCACAGCCAACGAACCCGTATAGTTCTAGAAGTGTGTGACCTCCACCGACAAGTCACGGATACCCACTATAATAATAGCATTGTTAGTATAATGACCATCCCCAGCGGCAAGCACGTGTACAGTCAATGAGCATGTGGGAATTATTGCGCAGTGTCTTGTGTTTGACATGGCAGTGAGACGAATTCAAGATAGCGCGGCAGGGCCGATGGCCTTCGACTTTTACTTGACGAACTGCCAGACATTCGTTCACTCTTCTATCCTATTTTTCGTTTTGTCCTTTCTTCAAAATACGACCACCTAAAACAATGCGGAATAAGATTTTTTAACTTATTAATTTCAGTTTGTATTCAGAGTGGTAATGGTGACGTAGTGAATTGCTCGCCCGTCCACCTCGATTGCCTGAATGCACATCTAACGATTCTCTGACGATTTTTCATTTTCCAGGAACACTCTTTAGTGGGCGTTGTCTTTTCTTTTTCTACCACAAAGTCTAAATATACGAATACCGTTTGTTTCACAGGTGGAACAACTCGAAATCCTACAAACCCAATGCCGACAGCCACAGCTCACTGCATGACTGTCAGTTGGGCTAAATTACATTACAATTTCACGCAGAGAAATTAACAATATATGCACAGTAGTGTTTTTCATTCGTTTACTACCTGTACATCAGCCAACGTATGCGGCCGTCATCTCTCGGTGTCCTTTTAGGGGCTGTGAGAATCTTCGGGCACGTAACAATCCCTAAAGACCCCGCTGTCCAGTAAGAGCAGTACTAAGAGCTGTGCGTACCTGCAAGCCATAGATAAGAACGAAGACCAGACGTAAGCGATACATACATCATTGTGTTCGGATACGATAACGTGCGCTCACATGCCAATTCATGCTCTGTCGTTTCTCGCCATGTGAAGCGAGCTGGCAGCCGTGTTCGGCTGAAGAGTGACGCCTACGAGCGTCACCATTGATGTCGACATTTCGTCTTTCCGCTTCTCTCTAATGAACTATTGCAAAACACCTATTCTCACACAGAACGCAACGACAATTGAGAATATGGCCGATAAATTATATGTTAACGAACCTCATCACCAGTCAGTGCTTTGTTGACTATCGTTCTTTGATGATCGATGTCCCCCGAAACGATTCTACCCTGTATCGTGCGCATGCCTAATGCGTTTCTATAAATAACAGCCGTTGCTGTAACGTGATAGATTTCAAAAACGCAAGATAAACAATTTTGCCATTATTGTTGCGTTGAGCAAGGACGAGCTTCTAGCATGAATATGCTTCATTTGTTGTGTAATTGAGAAATCTATGACTCAATACAGCTTCTGTTTCTGATTTCTTTTTCTTGATGGTGACGCTTGATATACTCGTAATAATCTCATTTTTGGCTTTACCTTCCTTAGGAGAACGTTTTTGCTTGCACCTTCTGTTAGGATTCAGTCGTAGATACTTCGTGGTATTTCTATAGTAAATTAGTAAGTAGACTGTGGGTCCGACGCAAGATGGCTTTTTGAGCACCTGAAGGCATTAACAGCCGCAGCTACTTCGTTCCTGTTTATGACTTTGCTTCACCCTGTGCGCGCGCCTGATCACGAAGCAAGCACGGGCGTAACTCCATGACCCCACGCCAACATCGATCTTTAATGAAATCGCACACCGTCAGGGTACTAGTATGTTATCGTTGTCGCCGTGTAAATCTTTATTTGACGACAGCGTCCGTTTCGTCACATGTTGGCTTTTCATTTGCCGAGATATGTGCAGCGGTGGCGACTGCTGTTGGCGTCACTTTTTACTGGGGCGGAAACCTGACATACCTGATATGATCCAACAGGGATGGTAGAGACAGACCTAATATTGTATTGCCAGTTGCATGTTGCAGGTCAGCTTTTGCCGCCAGCGACAATGACTGATACCTATATGTCACCACTTTCGCACCCGGAAGCTCAGTTCCACTTGGACAAGACAATTGTTAGACAGGTTCCTTATGTATGCAGCAAGCAGATTACAAAATGGAAAACTGTCATTGTTCCACCAAGAGGCAAATGCCACTTAGGCATCAAGGCAGACATCAGACAGGCGATTATGGCCGTAGGACCAAGCCGAAAAAGAAAGGACAGTGAGAGAGAGTATGGCTAGTATATATGTGGTGGGTTAAAAAGTCTGAATGACACCACGAAACGTCAATCCGACTTCATTTATTAAATGATAATACCTACTACGAAGTATACAGACTAACGCCGACATAGTGATTTACATGCGCAGACACTGAATTCCTATTCCATTAGGTCAAAGCAAAGTGACGACTGGCCTGCACTCGTCGATTTTATTCGTGCTTTACTAAGGATGGCATTGCTCACCCGTTTCAATTATGTAATGAAAGAGTAAAACGTCTAATTGGGCGAGAAGGATGAGGTTTTCCCGTAAATAGGAACAGAAAAACCTCAGTGTTATTTACATGCCATGTCTGTAGAGGCTTGCAACGAAATTACCGACGTCTCAAGGGAAAATTCGTGCTAACGAGAAGACCCGCCGATTGTTAACTTGTGCATCTAACTCACCTCGCCCTCAATTCAACCTAGATAATATAGAAGTATGTCTCGCTTCATCGTATCATACGTATACGAATATATATAGGATAAGATATATATAAGGATATATAATATAGTATATAAGAATAATTGAAAGGTCGGATCCGAGTAATTCTGTAAGTCCTCGACGTTAGACCGCCAGTTTGCTCTGTACGCTGCAGTACGCCTGTCTCACAAATAAACTCGTTGTGACATGGGTTCAAGCAATAAAGTTACGTAAGATGAGTTTTAATTCTATGAAGTTCTAGTTACTGTACCAGGCCCTTCATTGATTTGTCCTATTGCTTGCGTATGCACCAAAGTAAATACGCAGCAGCTAACCGCATTGATTTTTTCAGTGATTTATTCGGCACCGTGTTCGCGTTACCTTTGCACCATTTTGACTTTGCGAATATCTTTGGCGAAAGACGCCAGCCGTTGTCCTACATTATTACAGTTTATTACTATAACGTTTGCTGTCCTATGCTCACCTTACGAAAACACCGATACATCTCCCAAACGCAAGTTATAGTGGGCCATCGCCCTTATTACCGTAACTGTGGTTAAAAAAAACTTGGCTGGAAGATTAGTGTCAGAGCAGTGCATGTATAATGTATTCGTTTCGCTATCTACAGAGTCGCGTTCCTAGCCAACAAACCAGGTCCACTTTGTGTAAAATAGCCTTACCACGTGATTACCAGCCTTGATTCAAATTTGTTTCCCAAGGCCTATTTCAGCTCGTAGCGTCCAGTTACAACGCCAACACATACAACTGTTTCAGCATAACAATCCTAATGCGTAATACGCGATGCAAGATAGTAATAATATGTTATCGCACTCATTTTGACCACTTATTTGATCGATCTCGGCCTGATCACAATAGGCGTGGTTATTGCCTAAGCAAGGGCAGATGGACAAGCCACAGTTTCGTCGGTATCAGCAGCAACCGTACAAGTAGCCAAGCGGCCAGCACCACAACAAACTCTCGACTCATTGGGATCGGACATGTAATTGAAGAAAACTGTAAAGAAAACCACGTTTCAAGTATAAAAGCCATACAATTTATTGCTTTGCAATAGACGTGTAGTGCTTTACGAAAGCTCAAGCCGTTGTTGATATAGGCCGAGCCCAACCTGGCGGAAGTGAAACCATCTGCTTTGTACGGTTCCTTTTCGTGGTAGGCAGATGGGCTTTTTTTGTGATCTTAGAGAAAGTGCTCGTGTCTATCCTGAACGGTAACAGCTGGAACCGGAGTAATGCGTTTATTAGCTCCCAACAGATCCCCTCGTCTGCTGCTGCTGCTCTCATAATTAGCTATTGTCATAACGAGCTGATTTCCCCCCCCCCCCCCCCGCCTGACTTCGCGGACGAGTCGTGGCTTCAAGCACAAACCGAAGACGCGGAGAAAGATAGTGAGTGCTGCAAATACGAATCATGCGAGCGTGTGCGTGAGTAGAATGAATTGGGGATGACAAAGAAGGGAGCGACCTGTTTCCCAGTTTTTGTCCTGTGCGACAGGCCGCTTCTCGTAAGCATCACTTCCCCTGCAGTAGACTAGTAGTGCTGTTCCTATCAGAATGACGCTCCTACTGTCTCAGCTCCTGTTATATCGCTGCCAACCCTGCTACCCCGTTCCACCTTTAAACCTCACTCGTTTTGATCAGCTCAATCTCCACGAGCTGCTGTAGTTGCTATGAGTCACAGCCATTGAAAGACCGGCCGTTGTCGTCGTTGCCGCCATCAGCGTCACCGTTAGCATCACGCTCATCAGCTCCATTACCACCACCAGAATGGTCATTGTCAAACATTAAAGCCAAATTCATAGCGTCCACGACTACAGCGAGTAAAACTCTGGGGAATACTGCTTGAAGGCACCTCGTAACACAAATGAAAGGCGACGGAGCCAGAGAAGCAGCAGCTGCCGTCGTTGCTCCATTGCCAGTGAGCCAGGCCTCAATCTCGATCAAGCTGGCGGCGATGGCGGTGACCATGTCAGCATCTCCGTGCATAGCAGTTGTGATACTGCCGCTGCCTCAGAATATGGGTGAATGCCCGGGGAGCGTATCTCGTATCTAGGTGCCCGCCCATTTACAGTGCATTTGCAATAGAGCAATGCGCTCTAGGGTTTAGGTACTGTCAGTAGTGAAAGTCCTAGAACTCTTCTCGTAGACACAAATATGGTACATTGATGCATATACGGTATCATTGTGAAATGACTCAGCATCAATGAAGCGGTCCATACTGAACGTGGGCCAAAGTCGAAAGCCAGCGCAAAAAATCCGCAGGCTACGGTATTAGTTCGTGTCAGCTTCGTTGTGGCTCGATTAGCGGGGTTCTACAAAGCAGCCGTCTATAGTCCAACTATCGTATATACTCGCACAATGCATGTATAGAACACTATGTCTCCTCGTCCTTTTCTACGCGAGGCGATGCATGTGGCTGGATTTCAGGAGGCGGTAAACAAGAGTGTAAGGACGACTTCTTAGATACGAAGGATTCCGTTTATCGCCCAACCCGACCACAGCAGGGTTGGGTCAGGGTTGCTTGTTCACTTTCTTGGTCGGGGAAAATGGCGAAAAAGGGAGCCGCTGAACTATAGTTGGAGACTACATCACAGCGGCTGTAGCTATGTTATGACCGCAGGAGTGTGGTAAATTTAGGACAGGACGAAGCTGGCATTTAGTATGTCTACGTGCGCTCGAAAAGCTCTTGCTTGGTTGAGTGAGTGAGCGCGTGTTACCGAGGCCGGACTCCGATGCGGCTGGCTGTTGGAAGTGCCATGCGTAAAAGCTTTGACTAGCACATTATCATAGGTTTTCTCCTGCGACATTCGGGAAAACGACGATTTTTTTCTTTTTGACTTTTGTGACAAAATTTTACTTATATTAACAAGCATTAGTCTGCTATTGCTGATATATATATATATATATATATATATATATATATATATATCGCTGCGATTCGCTATTTTCTGTTACCGATAATATGGAAAACTCTCGCTTCAGCTGTGATGCAGAACATATTTCTGAGAAACATGGAAAAATCCAAACGTGGACGGCTGTTAGCATTAATCGACACTGAGCAATAGCAGATGGAATCGCAGAGAATGACTTCAACCTTTCTTTCCAACTTTCAAAGGATCCGTAAGGTCCATGATCTCCAGCCAATAGATACGATTTGATTAATATGTCATGCAAGCAAAATGCGTAAAGCTGTACAATTTTCTCTCTAAATAAGTAAAGAAAAATCTTACAGGTTAGATATAACAACAAACGAAGCTAAGGACATACAACATCGAAAGGTGACCGACACTATCAAGGGGTGTAACAAGAGGAAAGAGAACAAACAATTACGAGAACAAAAGAAAAACATCATCCGTTTGTTACGGCAGAAAAATGAATAGTCGATGTTCAAGAGGCTATCTATCTTTTTGCCTTAATACGATCGGCCTAGCCATGTAGTAAAATGGTCATCGTTCCATGTCTTCGTGCTCTTCCTTTGTTACTCTTCCTCCCACGCGGCTGGTACGGTAAACGTCCACAGTCCAGATAGTTGTTTGAGATAGGGTATATAAGAATCATGTTCGGCGGTTAATAGCGCTTTTATTTTCGCCAGTTGTTTATCATAGCAAAGCGCTGGGTCTCACGGGTGTCCCGTTATGATACGATACGAAAAGGTAGCAGGTCTGCCACATGTCTCTGGTAAGAACAACCGACCTGAATAGGGCTACATTCGAAATTATCTCCTAATGTAGCTAAAAACTGATGTAAAAAATTATAATGATTGGGATCAATCAATTTCGCATTAATCAATGCATAATAAAATAACAATCGTGACCATCTACAGGTATAGGATTGAGCAGCACAGCCTGCCTGCTGACCTACCATATATTTACTTGCTCAGCGACAAATAGTAAAAAACGGGCAAAAGTACGTATGTCGTTTCTGCTTGGTCACCGTATCCTCATCACGTGATCGATTTGAGAAGATAGAAAGGGATCGTTGACATAGTCTACATCGCTACTAGCGTTCACGCACGCGCTCACCACTAGCATTACCATGCTGCCAGCAGCACCGGGACTATGCTCAATAGATTAAGATAAGGATCATACACGGGCATTTTCTTGCTACTGAAATTCAACGCTTACAACGTTAGTAGTTTAATATATTGTGATTGTATGCATGCGCATCTTATCATTATCAGATGAAGTAAGTTTTTCCGTAGAGCAGTTGTTTCGTTAACGCCGAACGAGATTTAGATACGCACACTCAAGTTTTCTTCTTACGAGTGCCACGGAACTTCGAAGAAAACAGCGAAATTCGTCATATTAGAATGGACAATGAGCCCCATGCCGATACGCTGGGCGAGTATATCGATGACAATGTCAACGATATTGGTAGATGCACTGCTTCCGTTAATGCGGCTTTATCCAGAAACTTCATAATTAAAAAGTGTGCATGGAAGACAGCACAGCTTTTTGGTGCTGCGACAAATAGAGCTTGGGGCAGCAAGCGATGTGTGACTGTGCCGACGACGCTAAGGCGGTCCCTTCGTGCGCTGCGGTGCCCGAGCGTGTCGTGTCGCATTAATATTAGCATATCCATTACTTAGGACACTTCAATATTGAAAAACTACAAAACAAGTAAGGCTTAGGGATTACGAGAACTACATATAGACATACGACTAGTTTACAGTAAAGGGGCCAACCTGGACGGGGCAAATAAAACAGCAGCGGCAACAATTCCACTCAGCTGTAGCTCACCTCTGGGGATGACCTGCATGCATTTATGGGCCGTACAGAGATGGTTCAACAACGATGATTAAAAAAATCATTAATCAGAACGCGCTTGGTCACGACAGGAACTCAGCTAATTCTCTTCTTGTATTCAACTTTTCTATCTGTGTTTGCTTTGTTAGAAGGTAACGAAAGGTCCTTAACTTACGAGAAATATCAAATTCATCGTCATCATTCGGCTACATATTGTGTTGCAACGATAAATCTCGCTTGTTCAACTGGTCTTCTTTATTATACAGTGATCTGTAATGAGTCAGTACCCCTTTCTAGATTAGAAATATTAAATGTAGCAGATCCCTGTTACCTGTTCGAACAATTCACGTGTTGATCGAACGCTTCAAGGGTAATAGACGACATCCTGACGAATGCGGAGGTACTGCACACTAACTACGGCGACAAAAAAAATCATATGACTGTTTATCATCAAGCCGATATCAGCAGCTGAACAGCCTTTTAGTAGGTCATTTTTCAACTACTCAAAACGATTACTTGGATCGATTTAGCCTTTAGGTTCAGACAGAAACCCCCGTTTAAATCTGCTGCACCATTAGGTGTACGATCACAATATCAATAATCTGATCCCTTCCCGCCTCGTTCTCTTCCTCTTTCTTTGTCCTCTGCCAATCGTTTCTTTAGCACAGATCGGTCTATGATTAGTTCCGTCCTGCTATGGCACACGTTTTCGTCGACAACAGCAGCAGCCGAAATGGACGAACGGGCAGAATCTATCATCGCAACGAGTAAATGAAGACATCGGCTGAGCATCATCCGAGTTGTTACGAGTTACCATTGTCTATAGCGTATGATTGCGGTCATTATTGTTTTATTCTATTAGTGACAGGGTTATTGTTACACACATAGCAACACAAACACAAGCGTACAAACACGACATTAGCGACACATGTACCTGCATATTAACACACACAAACAATTAGTAACAGCAGGGAGACACCAAACCACACCTTCTTCCTTCCTCCGTACAGCCGTTCGTCGCACGCCCGACTATTACTATTGCTCGATCACGCCTGCGCGTACGATACGCCTTACACTAGCCGCTTACTTGCTTGGCAATACCACTTCTTGCTACTGGTTCCTACGGTAG